TGCACACGCAAACATGCGTCAAGCCCGCCTACGTGTGAAATCAACGATTTACCGCCATTGTTACATATCGCCGCGAACGTCGGAATGAGAGCAATAATTCTAGGGTCATCAATCACCGATAACACTAAACTGATGAGCGGTAAGCTTTTAAAGCGTCGGCTATGGTCAATTTTGAGTGTGGTATTTTTTTGCGATTTAGCGGGTGCACGCAATTTTGAAGCTTGACATGTTTGGTGTCTATTTACCCGACTTGACCCCGTCTTTTATATTTTACAAAAAAATTGGGTAATGTTTTATAACAGGGTTTGTTTTTTTTTCAAAAATTTCGGTACTTTTTTTATTATACAGTAAAAAAAACAACCCGTAGTGGTGAATAAATACCACCAAAAGAAAGCTCTATCTGTCCCGAAAAAATGGTATAAAATGTATTTCAGTACAGCGTTGCATGACGGAATAAATGTCAGTCAAAGTACTGCAGCGCTGAATGCTGAAAAATGGCCTGAACAAGAAGGGGGTATAAACACCCCGGTCATCAAGTGGTTAAAGGATTTTTCAATCCGTTTTTTTTTTGAACCCATACAACACATGAAGGACTGATCACATTGCAGCGTGCACAGGACAGCACTTATTATTGACAAGAGCAGCAATTTTTTCTTTTGCACTTATATAACTGATATTACTAAATGCCTTCAGTGGTATCATCAGACGACGGGGAAGGAGACAAGTGAAGTTCATTGTTGGATTTTACATACTTGAGCACTGTACATTGTATTTGTGATGTGAGCTTTCCAATGACAGCTCGATCATAGCAATTTACAGGCGCATAATACGGCGGTATTGAGGTGGTTGATTGGCTGATAAAACACTTTTGTGGCAGGTTGCGGAAGCCGTGACTTCAATTACTTTGAACTGTGTACAGTGGAAATAAGAATTCTACACACCCCTGTAAAAATGCCAGGTTTTAACCCTTTCGTGACGGGAGACGTACACTGTACGTCCCGCCACAAAGGGACCAAATGGCTCGTCACGTACACTGTACGTGACGAGTAATTTGCTGCATTAGAGGGCTGGTAACTGCTGAGAATCAACGGTTACCATTCATTAATGGATGCCTCAGTATAGAGGCATTCATTAATGAAAGGGTTAACCTCTTCAGACACCTGATACCTTAATATCGGGTGTCTGAGAGTCAAAGCAGAGCGGGCAAACATGCCGGCAAAAGCCGGCATTCTGACAGCTCGTATAGATCGAGAGATATCTCTCTCGGATCGTATACTGGCTTTTTTTTTTCTCTTTCACTTTCAGGAATAGATACATAATGTATCATTTCCTGAAAGAAGAATGTTTCAGTTTTCTGATCGTTGTTGGAACATATAGTTCTGAGGAGCCTGTTAAAGATGGGAGACAAACATACCACATTCTAAAATTGTTCCACGCTGAAATTGTATTTCACTGCATGTATTTTGTGACCTATAACGCCCAAAATCCGTGGCATATGATATACCCTATACATCAGGACAAATATATGAATTACTTTCTGTTATGTACACATTATTATTGGGAAAACTGACTTTTGGTTTTATTTTATTTTTAGAAAAAGAGATTTTCGATATGCTTATGTCACATCAACTTAAACCCCATTTTGTCCTTTAACCCCTTCGTGACGGGAGACGTACACTGTACGTCCAGCCACAAAGGGACCAAATGACTCGTCACGTACACTGTACGTGACGAGTTATTTGCTGCACTAGAAGGCTGCTAACCGCTGAGAATCAGCGGTTACCTTTCAATAATGGATGTCTAACTATCTAGAGATCCATTACTGAAAGGGTTAACCTTTTTCAGACACCCGATACCTTAATATCGGGTGTCTGAGAGTCACAGCAAAGCGGACACACATGCTGGCTTTTGCCGGCATTCTGACAGCTCGTATAGATCGAGAGATATCTCTCTCAAGCTATACTGGCTTTTTTTTTTTTTACTGACGTGGAAGAATCACACAGCAAAAATGTCAAGTGTGTCAGTCATTTACGAACAGAAACCAAAAACAAGCTCAGTCATGAAGGGGTTAAAAAACAGTATATAATGTGTGTAGGTGCAAAGCATGAGGAAGATGGAAATTATGGGTAAACAAAATTGCTCCGGTCCCCAGAATCAAACATTTTCTGAAGCTGTCACTAAGGGGTTAATGGGTCACATTAAAGGTGGAAAATATTCAGAAATGATTTGTCTTTTTTTTTTTTTTTTTTTTATACCTCAGAAAGCTGCCATTTTTACAGAGGTGTGTAGACCTTTTTATTTCCACTGTAATTACCTGAGAGCAGCCAACGTACAATGTGCTATTTCCAATTTCTGTAGAGGATTATTAAATGCTACATTTTCCTTTTTTGCTTTTATTTAGTAATTTGGTAATTTGGAATTTCCCTGTATTCAGCTTGCGTTGTGCTTTATGTTTCTGCAGGTTCTGCTTGGACTCTGCCCGGCAAACTAGACAAAGACTGTCAATCAACTGGTCCAACTTCAGCCTGAAGAAGACCACCTATGCTGCACACTGAACCCAGAACCATTAAGGATGGGGACTCACCCTGCAGGAACCAATCCCACTGAATTACGCCCTGCTGTTCTGAGCGCTTTTTCAGGCCTTGAGCCAGTACTGCCTTGCCTTGTCCCCAGTGCTGTGTGGATCTGCACTGAACCCCCTTGGCCTAATGAGTCTTGCTGATCTGAAGAAAACAAAACAAAAAACTGAATATGCCACTTTCTACCTGAATTTGTTAGCTTGTGTGCTTGTAGTCTGTGAGTAAGACTTTGGTTGTAGCAATATGCTCTCCTCTTTAATTGCCTTGACCTCGGATTTGAGAATGGTTCCTTGGGTTGGGTAGAGGCATAAAACAAAAGCTAGTTGCATCCTCCACGATGGTCCACGTCACCTTGCAGTACGCGACGTTCTATTACACAGACTACTGGCTATGGGAATGGAATCCCTAGTGCTCCATAATCACTTAGTCCTCCCTTCCCCAAGTGTCACGGTGGAAGAAGATCTCATAACAGACGAGCATTTCTCCAATTTACACAATCTACTGTCAAGAAGGAGTGTACAAGTTACACTTTTTTTGTGTTCTGATTTTTTTTTTTTCCCTCCAGACTCTTGTAGCCAGCTTGTGTAAGAATACATGCATAATGAGAAAGTAACAGAGGATCAAAAAAACAAAAAAGGAAAAAAAAATACTCACACTATCAATCTGTTATAGAGTGTATAATTGTATTAACACTGACGCCAAAGTGGCTACTTTTTTAACATATTGTTAAGTAATATTAAAATCAGTTCTTTCTTTTTGAAAGATGGAATACATTAGTATGGCAGAAGGACTGGTCTGGTTTCTGTGTCTTTTATTGTCCGAGTTGTGACGGCAGGAGCCGAGTGCACAGATTTTACTCCCTTTTATGTGGAAATATGAGCTTGCTGATTTACCTATAGGCTCCATTTACCAATGCACCACCGACGCAAAATACAGCCCACATCAAATGCTCCCTAAATCTAGATGGCAAAAACAAAGTAGCTTTATTTGTGTGATGGATGCAATCACCATCATCTACAGATATGATTTACACCGTTCCCCCCCCGTGCCCATAGCAGCCATAATCAGTTTTGTATCCAATGCACCCAGCCATGTAGCCTATATACACTCCACCAGTAGCAGTAATATATGCAGTTTTTATAGCTGAACTCTGGAAATTAAAAACTACCCTTGCAGTGGCCCCCAAAACCAAGCACCGCTCCTCCCACCACTGCGCTGCAAGGGTTACACGCTTGTTTTTGCATAGGGGTAGAAGAAAAGCGTGTAATACCTAACTCTCTGCTCCAGCAGGCTTCCGCATTCTCCCTGACACTCTGGGTTGTGAGAGGTCCCTTGCCGCCCTGACGCACATTGCAGGGCTATTTGGTGTTTTGTGTCACATTACCGCAACTCGCCTTGGCAGAAAATTGTTTTAGCACTAAGGGCCCATTCACTCCTAATCCGAATCATCTCCAGACCAGAGTGTTCCCGGACCCAAAATGCATCCGAATGTATCCCTATGCTATTTCTGGCCTCTATTCACACCAGCGCAGTCCGTTCCAGGCCAGAAAAATACTGCACGTCTCATTTTGTCTGGTCTGGAATGCACTGGAACTGCGGGCAGGTTCACACCATTTTCCGGACAAGATCTGGTCCTGGAAATAGTGAGAATCTGCCCTTAGGGCCCTCCCACACCACATCCAGATCATCTCCAGTCTAGATTGTTTCCGGACCCAAAATGCACCCTAATGTATCCCTGTGCTAATTCTGGCCTCTGTTCATACCGACACAGTCCGTTCCAGACCAGAAATATACTGTAGGTTTCGTTTTGTCTGGTCTGGAATGCACTGGAACTGCTGGCAGGTTCGCACTAATAAGAGAAGGCCAAGTGGCTTTGGTCCAGTTTGATGTGGTCCGGAAAATAGTGTGAACCTGCCGCATTTCCAGTGCATTCCAGACCAGACAAAATGAGACATGCAGTATTTTTCTGGTGTGAACAGAGGCCAGAAATAGCATAGGGATACATTAGGATGCATTTTGAGTCCGCAAACCATCTGGTCTGATCCAGAGATGATCTGGATGTGCTATGAATGGGCCCTTAGGGCAGGTTCACACCATTGTCTGGACCAGATCTGGAACGCAGTGCTTTGCGTTTTCGCCAGATTTAGATTTTTTTTTTCTTTCCTTCTTTTGCTGGTGTGTTTGTATTCAGTAAAACAAAACACAGAGAGCGCCTCCATCGCTTAAAACCTTTTTAATAAAGTAAATTTAAACAGATGCAAACATACTCAACAAAAGTCGAGTTTAAAAAGCATGAAACGATAAAAGCATGAGAGACTTAACCCGCCGGCTAGTCTTCCTCCCTGATGGTTAACGTTTCCGAGGTCACGCCTCCTTCGTCGGAACCATGCTTTTTAAACTCGACTTTTGTTGAGTATGTTTGCATCTGTTTAAATTTACTTTATTAAAAAGGTTTTAAGCGATGGAGGCGCTCTCTGTGTTTTGTTTTACTGAGTTGAGGTTTCCCTAAAGCCTATTTTTGAGAGCCTGCCTCGTTTATGCTTTACACCACGATTACTGCAGACTATCTCCCTACCTGGACTTAAGCCGTTGGCGCTGTGTTAATTACTGTTTGCGTGTTTGTATTCAGTTTTATGCATTCCAGTGCATTGCAGACCAGACAAAATAGGACAAAGCGGTATTTGGTCTGGAACGGACTGCGTTGGTATGAACAGAGGCCAGAAATAGCATAGGGATACATAAGGATGCATTTTGGGTCCGGAAACAATCTGGTCTGGAGATGATCCGGACATTGTGTCAATGGAGCCCTTATAAAAGAACTCCGGGAATTTAAAAAAATGAACCCTTGCAGTGGGGGACTACCCCTGCACCGCAAGGTTCTACTCTTCGTTTTTCTCTAGGGGACTGAACAAGCATTGATCCTGCCGCAGAGACCGCTCACCTTTCTCCCCCCTGCGCTCCGGCAGTGGAATATCCTTCAGTGTCCTTACATCTAATACACTATTAGACGTGATGACTCGTAGGTCATTAGACCGCTTAAGCCAAGGGAAGAGGAGGCTGTGGGGATCGATCTAGCAGATCAAAGCACAGATGAGTATATCTTTTTATTTTAGACCCTAGACCAAAACTAGGCGTTAAAAGGAGCAAAGTTAAAATGAACCCTTGCAGTGGGGCTATCCCGGAACTGCAAGGGTTCATTTTTCTTTTGCTCCTTTTTAAGCAGTAGAAGCTGTTTACTTAGCAATGTGCACCTTACATGGTGAATGTTGGTGAATCTGTTCACTTTGATTTCCCCTTCATGCCCATTCACAAATCTTGTGTTGATTTCCATCACACAGGATTCAGTCATCAAAGTGATGTCAGGATTACCTTATTCATCAACATTCCATGTGCAGAGATGAGCGATCCTTCCGTTTAATGCTGGGCACACACCTTACAACCATCGCAAGACTTTTGTCTTGCGATGGTTGTAAGGTACTTAAAAAAAACGTACGATCTGCCTATCTTGCATAGGCAGATCGTACTTGCGATGAGGGGCGGGCTTCCGATGACCGCAATGCCGAACGGGCAGTGTGCGCTTGCGCACACCGGCCCGTCCGGCTTTCATCTTACGAACATGCTACACACCCACCGAACATCGTACGATGCTCGGCGGGTTTTCAACATGTTCGTAAGTTTAAAGTCGTGCGACCTTACAGTAGTAGAGGTCGCACGGCTTCCACACACCTGAGGTGTGTGGGGACCTTAAGACCCTTTACATGGTTAGGAAGTCAACCCCAGTGACTCAGACGCTATTAAGACATCAGCTTAGTATGACAGCTGGAGAAGTTAGCTCTTCCAGCCTAAATATTTCCCCTCTGTGCAGGTTTACATTAAGGTGTTTGTAACCCTGACATTGAACTTATTGTATTTGAACTGGTGACTACTGCTGAAAGCATGTTCTTATATCTGTTAATCTTGTCAGCCGATAATGTGCTCTCTGCCGATGCTGAGTATTTTCCATTGCAATGTTCTTAGCCATCTCTGTTGTGGGCAATAGTAGAAGGCCGTGTGGCTGTAGTTCTGTCTTTTTTTCAGTCGGCCTGAGACAGAAGGGGGAGAGAGCTTCTTCACTCTAGGACAGGAAGTGCGACTGGCAGAATCGTCAGGTAAAAAAAAAAAAAAGCTTCAGAAAACGAATGCAGCCACCACATCTAAGGACTGGTAAGCAACAATATATTTTAATTGTTTATGGGTTTAGATATGTTATAAGGGGAGGAGATATGTCAGCTGCACCCATAGTATCAGCTTAACTGAAACCTGTTGCAAGAGACATCCTCGTAGGCATGTGATTCTGCAGCTAATCAGACCAAGGGCTAAAGGTGACACTGAATGCAGTTAAATGTTAAAAATACATTGAAGTACCCTAACTATTAACAAAAATGTATCTTATTTGTGTATCACTCGGCTGTAGACCCTCAAATCATCTCTGCATTGGTGCTGACACTGTCCTTCCTTCTGGAGGGTGGCTACTTTTATTCCCCATGGTCCCTGTGTGTGTTGTAAAGTAGTCACCGCTCCAAGCGCACTCCTGTCATGGACTACAATTTCAATACAAATGTGTAAACTAAAGGGAAGATTGTAGTCCATCACGTGAGTGATCTTGGAGCATTGACCTCTTTCCCTTGGATGTCTGACGATACTGGTGAGTCTTGGCCCCCTATGTCCCCCCAAGTACCCCTGGTCCTCCATTGGCACTGGCTCTTTGAAAAATTGTTCCACACCCAGGTGAATCTGTTCACTTTGATTTCCCCTTCATGCCCATTCACAAATCTTGTGTTGATTTCCATCACACAGGATTCAGTCATCAAAGTGATGTCAGGATTACCTTATTCATCAACATTCCATGTGCAGAGATGAGCGATCCTTCCGTTTAATGCTGGGCACACACCTTACAACCATCGCAAGACTTTTGTCTTGCGATGGTTGTAAGGTACTTAAAAAAAACGTACGATCTGCCTATCTTGCATAGGCAGATCGTACTTGCGATGAGGGGCGGGCTTCCGATGACCGCAATGCCGAACGGGCAGTGTGCGCTTGCGCACACCGGCCCGTCCGGCTTTCATCTTACGAACATGCTACACACCCACCGAACATCGTACGATGCTCGGCGGGTTTTCAACATGTTCGTAAGTTTAAAGTCGTGCGACCTTACAGTAGTAGAGGTCGCACGGCTTCCACACACCTGAGGTGTGTGGGGACCTTAAGACCCTTTACATGGTTAGGAAGTCAACCCCAGTGACTCAGACGCTATTAAGACATCAGCTTAGTATGACAGCTGGAGAAGTTAGCTCTTCCAGCCTAAATATTTCCCCTCTGTGCAGGTTTACATTAAGGTGTTTGTAACCCTGACATTGAACTTATTGTATTTGAACTGGTGACTACTGCTGAAAGCATGTTCTTATATCTGTTAATCTTGTCAGCCGATAATGTGCTCTCTGCCGATGCTGAGTATTTTCCATTGCAATG